CTACCGTAATCCTACAGTAACGAAGGGCGATGGGTAATTCATTCCATACTGTAAATCTAAGTTGAAGCCTCCTCTACTGAATGGCACTTGATAAGGAATGGTAAGGAAAAGACTCAGTGGGAAGAGAGTTAATAACGATTAAAGAGTTAACTAACGATTTTTTGTGTACTCACTTTTGGGATACCCTGTATAATAACAAGCAACCACAGATTTTAATCTCAAAAATATAACTCAATGGATTTAGAATCTATGTCCCCTCATTATCAACTGTTCTTTGATATTATTGATTGAAGGCAAAATTTTATATAATATAATATATATATAATTTTATATAATATATATAATTTTATATAATTTTATATATTTTATATAATTTTATATTTTATTTTATTTTATTTTATTTTATATGTTTGCAAATTTTTTGGTGTGAGAGTAAACCTACGCTAATACTACCATGAAACACTTACACCCTGTGTAATGAAGAGATAGTTCTTCCAGTCTGTGCAGTGAAAAACATGGTTGGGCAATTATGAATGAAAATGAAGAGTGATTAGGGGAATCCGTTCTCGCAATACTCACGTTAATCCTACTAGTATGAAAAAAGATTATCCGGCTTGAACAAGCAGTCTGGTGGCAATTTTTTTGCAATGGTGAATCCATTTTGTGTAAAAAATCATTCTAGTCGCTAAACTTGGCATGGAGTATCAGAGTAAAAGCATTTTTGACGTCTTTAGTACTGTGAAAGATTATAAAAACGATAGCCTTAGTCAAAAACTAGTATTCGAGACAAATAAATGCTCAAATATGTCAGATCCACACTGTGTAAGGTGCCAGAGTAAGCGAATATTTTGTTCAGGTTGGGGTCTCGCGCAGAATTGACGTCACTTGGATTGACGCCAACATGGTGAGAGACGTCAATTCTGCACGGGACCCCAACCTGAACAAAATATTCGCTTGCTCTGGCACCTACCTAATCGTGATATCAATAACTGATGAGATGATTTGTAACTTCCTTCATACAGATTACTGTAGATTACTGTAGATTACTTAGATACAGATTACTGTAGATTACTTACACAAGTGACTGAACAGGATGAAAGGTGTAGATCAAAAGAAAAATAATTGACTTGCTAATTTCTATAAAGAGAGAAAGAAAAGGACTGAATGGATGTGATGCAATGGATTTGAGTGAAACTTTGTAAAGAAAGAAATGAATAGAAAACTAAATGGGTGGGTCAAATAAAAAATGACGTGATGATAAGAGGAGGAATATTTGAATGAAAGAATGATGAATGAACGAACAAAAGAATTAAATGTTACAGTTTGAATGAATGAATGAACGAACGAGTGAATGAAAGAATGAATGAATAAATGGATGATTGTTTATGTAAATGTGATTGAATAAATAAATAAGTGGATGAGTGAAGAGTGAATGAATGAAGGAATGAATGAATGAATGTAAAAATGTGCAAGTGACTACCTGTTAGTTCTTGTAAATAGTTGAAATTATTTTTACATTTTTTCAAAAAATTCAAAGTAGCCTTGTGCGCCCCCTTTTTTAGATTTTAGAGGTTGTGGCTGCGAAAACATTTGAATTACCTCAAAAATATAAATACTTTCGGAGTGCGTGGCTGACGTCACGCACCTTCATGGAAAAAAATTTTGCCGCCCACTCCCCCGAACGGATATTCTGGGACCGCACTGATATGTAACAGTGGTGGAGGGGGGGGGGGACAAAAAATTTTCCTGAGTGAAAGTGCGTGGCGTTAGTCACAAACTCCGAAGCATTTTTGCGATGCTTCCCAAAATTTTTGTGGGCCGAGGATCCCAGAATATCAGAGAAAGAGGTGTGAACAAGTCATTTGCACCATTTTTATAACGTAAACAAGTTTCAAAAATTTCGCGTCCCATTCTCGGGGGGGGCGTGGGGGGGGCTCTCTCTGTCACTGGTATGTATGTATCACTGGCGGACCCCCAGAGAATGGGCCCTGAATTTTTTAAAATCTACTTATAGGCTGCTGCATGACAAAGGTGCAATATCTTTGAGCGCGAACTCGCCTTTATTAGCCACAGAGCGCATGAGACGCAGGATTTATAGCGGTGAAGATACGCGCGCGTCGCTTTCGCACCCGCGCAAGTAATACTGCTTTTGCGCCTTCGTAATGCAGTAGCCTTTGCATGGTTTTTAAAATTATTCACTTGAAATAATTTTTTAAATTTCTTCAAAAATTCAAAGCAGCCTCGTAAAACATTTTCGGGGGCGTGGCGGTAACCACGCCCCCTTTTTTCTAGATTTTAGGAGTTGGTTAGCCCAAAATTTTCGGTGACAAGATAAATAATCAAATGGGTGGTTTTGAGATGGCAAACTCCGCGCTAGCCTCCTGGGTAATGGCGAGCTCCACTCTAGTCTTAAGTTCATTCCGTGAGTGGGTTATAGGTGTAACCTACAGTTTTTTAAGTAAGCCATACCAGTACGAAAATGCATTAAGGGCAAAAAGTGTAAACTAAGGCAAAGAATATGGGACGTCCTCGTTAATTAATTGCCAAAAATTGCGTTAACCATTTAGTCGAATGGAAAGAAGGGCCTAAAAATGACTGAAGCAGCTGCGATGTACGTTCTCGAACGCACACAAACGATGGGCGATGAGAGCGCGGAGTTTTGGTCAGTCGCGCCGTCCACGCGTACAAAACAAATAAAGAGTGGACACGAGCTCGAAGCCCCCGTGCTAGAATCGGCGCCCGCATATCGCGAAAAACTCGCGCAAACCATATAATGAGTGCTGCTGCATTTTCATGAATGAAGACGTTTTGTTCGTTATTTTCTTAATGCAACGAACCGGATCTTGCTAGGTTGCAGCTTTTTGCAAGGTGAATTGGAATGTTTGAGGCTGCAGACTAGACACATCGTGTGAATCCGGTTGGATTCCTGCTAAAGTGGACAGGCACCTTCAACCGCTTCTAATCATTTTTACAAACTAACACTTAGAGACTTTTTCGCTTTCGCTCAAGTACCAAGCTAACGGATGTTGGGAAGTGCGAGATTAGTGAAAAAGTTTGTGATTGTATAGAGGGTTTTGCCAATTTTCTAGGGATCTTTTAGCCTAAGGAACATCTTCATAACAAAGATCTACTCAAAGGCAGCGTCCGAGCAAATCCCAAAGCATTTGCGCGGACAGCCCACTTTGGTGTGCGCCCCTCCCACTCAAACGAAATCTCCCTCAACCCTTGACGCGTTTTCACATGGCAAGCACAATCGAAGAACATACGATTTAACGTGTCAATGCTTTCCTCGACGAGACTAACCAGGGCACTCGTCCGGGGCTTTGAAAATTAGCGAATGAAGGGGTTCCTGAGGAATTCAAGCTTCTAACGTGCCATAAATGCAACTCATGAAACGGTTCGGATAACACAAAAAATTGAAGTTTGAGAATTTACCCGGATACTGTATTTAAGGTCAATAAAATAAGATTATAAGGTCCATAAATGGAGAATTTTTTTTTGACAAACGTAAACAAGAACGTAATTGGTACAATCCAATGTTCACTACGGGGATCCCTACCTTCCCCCACAAACAAGGTAGTAATTTGATCTTTATTTGCACCCTCGAAAAATCCATACAGCTCCAGCTTTTGAGCTTTATCGTTGTTTATCACGCGTTGTCCGCTGGACATCGAGAAGAGCTGTAAAAGAAAAGTGAGGAAATTGGACAAAAAATTCGAAACCTTCTTACTGTTGTGGTTTCAAAAATTTTTTGGGAATTTTTTAAAATTATTTGCAAGCTTAGGACCTGGAATTTCCTAGGCTCTGTAGTCTTCGTAACAGGGCTCAGCACAGCTGGCACCGGTCAAAATAGATATCGTTTTCAGGGCGGAAAGCAAAGGGGATATCGTTTCTACAGGGGTGCGGAGAACTACCGCAAAAATGCTGCCGGCATGCCACTGGCATGCCATTGGCAAGCTGTCCATCAACAAACAAAGGCGTTGTTTTCAGCCAAAACGCAATAGTATGACACCAAATTTGGTGTGTGCATGCGCGTTGGTGGACCGGAACTATGGGATAAAAATTTATGAAAACTTATGTGAATGAAACTGTGCCGAACTTTTTTCTGAATTAGCTGGCACCGTACAAGCTGGGTGCCAGCTGAGCTGGCACCGACACTTTGCTCACATAATTTTTCATACTTTTTTACATAAAATGTATCTACACTGTAAAAGATTACATACGGAGAAGAAACAGTTTCATAATGTTCTCTTTTCAGCGTTTTATAGCAATTTGAAAACCACTCGGTCTGCTCCGTAGTCGAAAAATCGGCTTTTTCTGCTTTTCAAGATGTGATTCGTCCACTTAAAAAGCTCAGAAAGCTGTGAAAAGTTCTTTCATGAAATCAGAAATGCATGAAAACACTACTACATTTCTTTACAATAATATAAAAATGATGACGGGTTTTCAAAACAAGTCGAAAGGGATTTCGTACAAAATTTTCAATATCAAACGGGACTTCATTTTGGAATTTCCCTGGTGCCAGCTCATGCCGAGCCCTGCTTCGTAATCTAAAGCGTTTATTCATGGCTTTTACAAAAATATCTCCTACCCGACTACCAATTATCTACATAATAAATTATGCGCATTGTTCGCAATTTTTTATACTCCTAAACCTGCCCCATACTTAAGAGGAGGGGAAGACGGATGGATGAGAAGAAAGGTCGCTTTTATTGGACTAGGAATATTGGAAACAAGGAGGTCTGGGGAATAATACTATGTTAGACATTTTCATTCATTTCGAACTAATTTTCGTCATTCTTATGAATCAAAATGATAACCTTCGTCAAAAAAGACCACACTGTCTGAGCGCACGGTTCCAGCAAAATCCTAATAACAATTTATTCAAATTTCAGTTTTCTTACAATTATTTACTTGGAACAATAGTAGCTATGATGTGTAAATAAATGAACAGCAGACTTGTTACAGCAGACGCAAAATTTATTAGAGACTGGTTTGCACGTTGTTTGAGCAGCTTTTCCAAAAATGGAAATGAATTGATGACAAACAAAAAAGCTATGGAAGTATGTACAACGGTTCAGGGATGATGTGATCGAGCTATGAAAAAACACAAAGTCAATTGTACAATACTTTGGGGGGGGGGGGGGGAAGGCTGTTTGTTGACTTTTGCAGTTCTTGTTAAGGTAATGATGAAAAAGGTTGTGGAGGTCAGCATTTACAATTTGAGGGTTATGGTTAATCACAAAAGGCCAGGGTATAATATGGTTGAGAATCCTTCAATGGTATGTCATGTAGAGGTTCTTCGTCAACGCCGGCTGAAGTTTCCTCCATGGTAATGTCTCCATCGATGCTGCCGAGTTGTAGTCCATCCAAGGAGTTCATTAGGTCTAAAAAGCATTTTAGAGGCTATGAAAATTACAAGTTCTCCAAAAAAGTTTCCTATAGGGCTTCAAGCAGCGGTAATGAGGATTTTCTGTGAGCATCAGCTATTCTTATTCATTGTCAGATCCTAAGTTAAAGCCTCGGCAAAAATTCGTTTCCAGTTTTCACCTTTTTGGAGCGTTGTCGCTATGAGAAATCCATATCCGGGCTTTTCAGGCATTAAAATGGGGAAAATAAGCCTTTTCCGAAGGTTTCCAGGTCCGCATTCAGTGAAAAATTCGTGGGCGGAGTTCAAAACGAGGGAGGCGGGGCGCGGAAGACTTCCTGCGTATGTTCACTGAATATGGACCTAGAAATCTTTGAAAAAGCTTATTTTCGCCATTTTCATGCCCTAAAATGCCCAAATATGAGTTTCCCATTGCGAGAAGGCTCCGAAAAACTGAACAGCGAAATTTTGCCGAACGGTGCCTTTTAACAGAGCATAACCGAGATGAATGTTCTAGAAATGTTCTTATTATGGCCCAAAGTTGTGAAAACACGGAGTTTCTCTAAACCAAATGATTCCACTGGACACGATAGTCAAAGAGATAATTGAGAGATAAGAGATATGCGCATTTTACTAGTTTTTGAAAAAGAACTGGTCGTATTGCGACAATAAGAGCTCATAGAAACAAAATCAGACTGCCTTTTACTGATCGCTAAAAATGCTAGAAGGGGTCTAAAACTTCTAATTTTTTATGAGTCTCATGACCTGCCCTTTTTGACCAAGATGAATTTATAATGAGCGGATGTCTCTGCAAAAAGTTATTTTTCCAAGATCCTCATCTGAAATTATGATTTTTTTAGACTCGTAACTTTCTGATGTACATAATAAGAAACCACATAGACAATGTACGAGACAATCTGTCTGGTTACTAGTTTTTTCAAATGATTTTTTCGAATTTTGGTTTAAGAACTACTTTTCAACTTATGTACATCAATATAGCAAGTTTCTGAATCAAACAGGCACCGAGAGAATCAAATCCTAATATTCATTTTTTTCAATTTTTATTCCATTTACTAGCGGAAAATACAACATTTTGCATATTTTGAGTCAAATGTCTATCCGTAATCATTCTCTGCGTTTCCAATGGGAAATTTTATTCAGAGCTCGCCACAGGTGGCTTGTAAGCAACTTAGATATCGTTTTTGGGATAAAAAGCAAAGGGATCGTTTTTGAGGCCAAAAAGACACAGAAATTTTTTTAGTTCATGTTTCGTTTTCTGAGGGTTCTTTTACGTTTGGGGTTTGGGGTCAAAGGAGACTAAATTACCGAAAGTTAAGGAGAACTTCGTTTTTTGCTTTCCAAAAGGCACCTCGTGCCGAGCCTTAATTTTATATACATCTCCTAGCAAAAGAATAGTGAACTCTAGAATCCACAGGTTCTTGTGACCTAAAATAGGTGGTACAAAGGCTCGCTTCCAAATTGATTCTTTTGCAATATTTTAGTAACTTGCGAAATCGAACCTTTTTTGTGCACTGTACAAGTGACTCTCACCGTCACTGAAAGAGACCCATAAAAGGTTGGCGAGCAATGATGAACAATGTTCTTGTCACTGCCAAACTTCTTTCAACAATTTCTTTTTTTTTCAAAGCAGTCACGTCATGTCTTTAATAAAAATTTTCTACATGCAATTTTGTCATAAAGTCGATAAAAGCTTATCAAATTTCACATCTTTGAAAAAAAAGCTTACATGACAAGATATAAGAATAAACCGGACTCTTGATGACAGCAGCTACGTGTTGAGCGCACTATCAAAAAAAAAAGACATAAAGAAATACGATAGTGTGAAGTGGACATTAGAATGAATCATGCTGGTGAATTTCTATGTAAAAAAAATGAGCTATGAAAATTTGCTTCCAAGCTCTAGGAGACTAGTGGGCAAAATTTTCTGACTGTGGTATGTTTAAAGTATTAAGAATATCGGCGTAATTTCCAGAACTCGCGTAAATCTGAGGGAATTACTTTCAATGGCCGTGGCTGTTTGATATGAGATGCATACCATCTGAAGCAGCTTCGAACGCTAATTTCCAATCTGCCTTCCGTTTCTGCGGAACGCTCTTCTGAAGAGGGTTTTGGAAGCCTGAACATCCTATTTTGAGGGCGCTCCTTGAGTTTGAGGGCGCTGCTATGTGCGTTGGTGGTGCAGTAGTGTAATGGTTACTTGCTGGCATTGAATGCGACAGGTTGACGGTTCAAATCCGGTAGAGAGCGAGCCATTTTGCATTTCGAATGTGAGTTTGAAAGCACTCTAAATCGTCTGCAGACATTTACTGTAATGCCTTAGCACAAACAGGAGAAAACATCTTTTCGACTAATGACAGTGTGCATTTTTTGAGTTTATATGGTGACAAACGTGCTACACCATGTTTGGTCCTGTTTTACTAGTAAGAAAGTCAAATAGAATTTCAAGTTCTCATTACAAGCAGTTCCAGAAAATTCTTTTTCTAGGTCACTTAAGCCAGAGGCATTACAGTAAGTGTCTGCAGGCGATTTATAGTGCTTTCAAACTCACATTCAATAAGCAAGATAGTTCGCTCTCCACCGGATTCGAACCATCAACCTCTCGCCTTCAATGTCAGCAACTAACCACTACATTACTGCACCACCAATGCACATAGCAGCGCCCTCAAACTCAAGGGGCGCCCCCAAAATAGAATGTTCAGGCTTCCATAACTCTCTTCAGAAGAGCGTTCCGCAGAAACGGAAAGCAGATTAGAAATCAGCGTTCGAAGCTGCTTCAGATGCTATGCATCCCATATCAAAAGGCCACGGCCATTGATAGTACTTCCCTTGTAAGTAAGTTTATAAAAAGATCTTGAACTAGAAGAAAACCGAAGGGCTCAATTTGAAGTTGACTGACTCTCTATTTAACCCATTGACGACGACGCCTAATTTCGCGTTTCGCGCTGTGGGACGACGCGATTTTACACAACACTTTCGGTGCGGGAAAATTTTGAGATTATTTACGAAATGTAGAGTTGTTTTGTAAACAACTACAGTCATCTTCTTGGACGACAAAGTCTACAGATTTCAAAAGTGCAATAATTTGGAAAAAAAATACTGAACTGTGGAAAAATACTAGACCTGGAAAGGATATAATTTTGCAGACGATGTGGGCCACCGGTGATCCACAACGTCCCTGGCGGGAAGAAGTGTGTGGGCCACCGGTGGTCTACATTGTCGTCAATGGGTCAACGAGACGAGAATGTATCAGCCCCTTTTCAAAACAGTAAAATCTATAAATAAAAATTGAGTTTGACCACATCTGAATGATTAGCATTTTATCAAACAATTTAGGTAATTCTAATTATTTTCAAAAGTAAAGTGGTCACCTTGTCTGAGACACAAAGCATCCCCCAGTCATTTTCAAAACTACACACTCGCAAGTGTTTTTCCTAACACCTCTGGCAAAAACTCCTCTGATGTTTGCATTAGAGCAGAGTAGCAAAAAAGGCTGTTAAAGTAGACGAAAGTGATTGCATTAGAATGCTCACCTCTCAAAAAATCGTCCTCTGTTCGGGTAGGAAAAAACTTTCTGAAAACGGCCTGATTTTGCTCGATCATCATTAGCATAGCTCGACATGCTCGTAGAAATCCTTCTGTAGTGTTTTTACATCTTGGAAACAGTATAGGCGTAAACAGCATGATGACATCTGCAAAACGATAAATTTTGAAAATTACTGCAATTTCTCAGAAAGATAACCTGTGATTCAACTGGTTTGGCGGATGGAAGGCGGGGCTTTGTGACCTAATTAAGGCCGCTTGCGCCCGCAACGCCATCTGCGTCTCTCTCGCGCGCGTGCTCTCTGATCATTGCCTTGATTAGGTCACGAAGCCTCGCCTTCCAGCCGCCAAGCCAATTGAATCAAAGGGTACAAAAATATAGGCTAGCCTTTTCATCTGCATCGGATAAGAAAAAAGCGCGAAAAAAATTTGGTCCAAAATTTCCGAAATGTCAGAGATATAATGCATGGAAGCTTGGAACTTGGGCAGTAGAACATTTCATACATTACAAAATATTATATGACGTCGCTTCGATGAACTATAGAAATTTTCGCTAACAAGAATCAAGGGGTGAAACGAACGAAGGCGTTACCCAGGTAGCACCCCATAGGCCCCGGGCAGACTTCACGCGATTTGATCGTCGCGACTGAGTCGCGACGAGACAACTGTTACAACATCATTCCATGCCGATCAACTTGCATTCGGTTGTGATACTTTTCCAGGCCGACATTTTTGAATGTGAAACGAAAATGAATGGAAATCTTGGCATTAGATCGCGACGATTAAGTCGCGTGAAGTCTGACCGGGGCCATAGGTTTCAATTGTAACCAGTGATCAATTCGATATCTCGCCAAGTACCGTATTCTTTGTTATCGGACCAATCAAGCGTCTCTGAATACGGTAACGGACGAGAGTTTAGAGCGCATTTGTTAGTGCGAGCAATATGCGTTGCGGTTTGGACGACGACCAACCCAGGTCGTCAATCCTGTAAAAAAATGGAGCTGTAAAAAGTTACGGTTGAAAAGGTCTGAAATTTTGAATTAACGCCCCTAAGATATATTCGAAAGCCAATCTGGGTTTCAAGGAAATTTGAAAAAAAATCAAGTTATTCACCAAAGAAAGAAGTCACTTGCGTCTTCCAGTTGTACTTATGTAACCTACTTCCTCTGCCCATTCCCCCCCCCCCCTTCCTCACTTCACTTAGTTTTCTTCTAATAAAAACTTTTACCATAAACAGGAATCAATTCTTCTCTCACTTTCTTCTCTCATATTTGCTTAGGATATTTTCTCCCCCAAAATGAGCTTCCAGTAGAAAACAGGAAAGGACCAGATTTCATGACCTTTGAGAGGGGATATAGTATTTTCAGCAACGAATAACAGCGAAAAGTTTACACAAACTATCCAAAGGGCTGTTGCCCAATTTAGAACAAGAGCGGCTATAGAGAGGTCCAGAGCTTGGATAGAAATAGATAGAGGAATATCCAGCTTTGGTTATCCTATTGTGTAGAGCGAACTGGTCTTGAATAAGAGGGGGAATTTTTGGGAATCAACATTTTTAGTGTTGAAAATCAATAAAAGTTGTGTTTCCCATACCAATCAAGCTTTGTCCTCGATAGCAGGTGAAGTCAAGTAGATTCCGTAATGAACAGCATAGTAGATAGGCACGTTGGCGATTTGCCAATGGTAGAGCATCCAAAGAGCTGAAAAATTCACATTTTCTGAACTTGAACTTGAAAAGTTTCACCTTTCCACAGCCGAGGAATTTTCATGCATTTTTTCCGCGCACTGCTTTTGCGCAAAACCACAAACAAGATTGGCAAATCCGACACGACATGTGTCACAAAAAAATCCACGGAGATCAGTTCCGGATCACACTTACCTACGTAGATAACATAAAACAAGTTCGTCCGAGGCCGATAGTGAAAGACTCAAAAATTCCTCGTTTTCAAACACTGGCGGTAGTTTCGTAAACACTTCCTAAATTAGATTCGAAACAATTTCACTTCTAAATTTAAAAAAAATCATTCAAACTTTCTTTAAGTACTGAAAGAATAATGTTCGGATGTGATTGAACCACATCACGCGTTGTAAACTGGCAGTGTTGAATTTTTGACACGAGATCGGTGACTTCTGAAAAAGATATGGTAAAATATAAGGCTAAATGAATACATGGTGCAGTGGCTAAGAGGGGCCACCATAAGCAATGGCGTCAAAGTTCAATCCCTGGCTGGGTTTGTATTCGGGATTTTAAGTAAGTAGCGCTTGTATGACAGAGTGAGGTATTTATATTTACACCCATCGCCTATTTGAGTACCCATATCACTTATTTTCATAATTAGTTATTATTTGTTATATTATACCCATCTACTGAAGTCCCTAAGTACAACTGTAACAGACAACTTGGCAGGATTGCATGAGTCACGAAATTCTTGATTTTTCTGCAAATTTCGTTCTTGTTAGTCAGAGAGGGAATTTGATAAAAGTGACTGACAACTTCTGTTTCTTTATGACTAATGTGAGCTATCAATATAATGTTCCGTATCGCAATTTAATGACTCTATTCAGGTTTGCAAAATTACTGAATTGGCAAATAAGAAAAATCAGGCTACATCATAAAAAACAAAAAGTACTGTCAAAAGGCTATATGCGGAAATCAGACAACGACGAAAGTTTGCTATGTAAAAAGCAACGCAGAACTAAGATATATATGTGCAAAAGGGTCCAGAGTATAACAGAAGATAAAATGCGAAAATATATTAGGTTGTCAAGAAAATAATGTCCGTTTTTATTTGCTTGCTCTAACAAAGCAACCAGGCTTAACCCAACAAAAAGTAAGGGGTACTGTTCGATAGAGCAAAGCAAGCTCTACAAGATGGCACTCATGTCTTTGCGCCATTCTCGATCCACGGAGAGTTCGAACTCAAAATCTAAAGATTTCCAAATGCCCAAAAAATTGAAAAAATCAGATCTTCGTCCAAATAATTTCTACGGACCTCCCACTCGCTCACATCAATACTATCGATATCTGATATGCATATGTGCGAGTGCCGTATTTTTTCCTTGACTAGAAACTGGGAAAACGAAAATTTCCCTGATTTTTTCAAAGCAATGCTGAGCCGTTTTTGCATATGTAGTTCTACACTACAGCCTAGGTAAGTATAACTGTAGATTTTCAGCCCATTCCAAGCGGTATTTTTCGAAAAATAACGAATTCGGACTTTTTCGTTTCAGTGCTAAAATCGACATTTCTCGAAAAGTACCGCTCGAAATAGACTGAAAACCTACAGTTATGCTTACCTAGGTTTGTAGTATAGAACTACATATGCAAAAACGGCTCAGCATTGCTTTGAGAAAATCAGGAAAATTTTCGTTTTCTCAGTTTCTAGTCAAGGAAAAAATACGGCAATCGCACATATGGATATCAGATATCGATAGTATTGATGTGAGCGAGTGGGAGGTCCGTAGAAATTATTTGGACGAAGATCTGATTTTTTTTCGATTTTTTGGGCATTTGGAAATCTTTAGATTTCGAATTCGAACTCTCCGTGGATAGAGCATGGCGCAAAGACATGAGTGCCACCTTGTAGAGTTTGTTTCGCTCTATCGAATAGTACCCCTTACCCTTTTTGGGTGTTGCTTTGTTAAAGCAAGCAAATAAAAATGGACATTATTTTCTTGACAACCTAATAGCTCTATACGAGCAATTTCCCCCATCTTTTGATGTAATTCTGAGAAAAACTGTCTCAGACAGCTGACCGGAACTTCCGCAGAATGTTTGGGGAAGTTCCTCCGCGTCATCTGCAGAAGTTTCGTGAACGTGCTGCGGAAGTTTCCAAATGAGGTGCTGTGTAAGTTCCGAAGAATGCTAACGCAACAGCAAAAGAGAACATCGAAGCGAGATAACCTTACTCTATTGACTGTGAGACTCAACTGCTATCCTCTGCACCTCGACTGACATGTTCGATAATCCACTCTAAGTGTTGCCGAGGCAACATCATATTAGACAACACATTCAGAATCCTGCGGAAGTACTGGCATGTCGAAGTGCTGCGGAACCGCTGGCATGTTTCGGAAGTTCCGCAGCGCTTTGTATAAAGCCCTACGAAAGTTCCCGTTTTCATCCAGTCTAATGTGAAAAGCCTGTGGAGGTTCCCATTTTCAACGTTACCACTTTTGCAATTGTAAACAAAACCCTGCGAAACCGCTGCAAATTTTGCTTGCCCTGCGGAAGTTCCGGTGAATTGTCTGAGATGTTACATACTGTAATTTAGCAGTTTAATGTTCCATTAAAATAATCCGGGAATAATGGTTATCTGTTCTTTTTTCATGCCAAGACTGATATCTGGAACATTGCAAGGCGCGAAATTTTTGAAAGTTACTTATATGGGTTATAAAATTGTGCAAATGACTTATCTTCACTTGTAAATGATTAAAATAATTTTTAAAATTTTTTAAAAATTCATTTTAGCTCTATAAAAAAATTTATTTCGTTGGCATGGCTGACGCCACGCCCCCTTTTTCCAGGTTTTTGGGGTCGGGGACCCGCAAAAATTTTGAGAAGCACCCCAAAAAATTTTTCGAAGTGCGTGGCTGACGCCACGCACCTTCATTAGAAAAAAATTTTTGTCGCCCCCCCCCCCCCGAGCCGAAATCTTGGGTACGCCACTGGTGGGCCATACTCGAGTATATGGGAGAAACTCAATAAATGCTGCCAAAACTGATAGGAGCAGAGTTTGTCATTTTCCAATTATCTTATCTCTTGATTTCATGAAGACTTTCTGTCTATCATAAGAAAACTGGTTTTGTTTACGCCCAGCATACTTTTATGGAATGTACGCCACACCACAACAAAATGAAGTGAAACTCAAAAATAATACTTTGTAGAAAATACAAAAGCTTACATTCCCCTCTATTTTCACATTGATTCCAGTCTTCAATACAATCACGCCGACACAAAGCAAAGAAACTTATTACATTTTTCTTGTAAAATTGTTCCGCTCCAACAAAATCTATCACTATTTTCTCTCTCCATCAACTGTCAGAGTATAATGATCTCTCGTTTTGAAATGGTTGTTTTCTCTTGAAACTGTGAAACCATAGCGGATAACGGTGTGCTTTTGCAAAAACTCGAAAATTATGGCGACTGACGATTAAACTTTCTTACATAGTCCTTGAAGGAAACTGGAAAATTTAGCGTTTCGACAAGGCAATTTACCCTTTGATTCAACTGGCTTGGCGGCTGAAAGGCGGGGCTTATGACCTAATTAAGGCTTGAGATTGATCAGAGAGCACTTTCGCGACAGAGACCCAGACTGTGTCGCGTGCGCGAGCGGTCTAATTTGGGTCACAAAGCCCCGCCTTCCAGCCGCCAAGCCAGTTGATGCAATAGTTAGCGCTGCTTGGAAAAGATTTTCGCATAGATGAAGTACATTAAGATCTTCATTAGTCTAGTATCAACCCAGTTTTTACATTTAAAATTAAAATAATCTCCACGATACTCACAGAAACAACTCGTCATGACAGATGCACTCATTCCACAGTTTTATATTACTATTAGCCAGAAAAAAAATTCATAAAGATTGCCAAATAATCTTTAAAACGGAAATGTACAAGCTGTACTTGTACTGTACCTATAATGATTCCTATTAGAAAAGGCATTACTGACTCTTCTTGCAAAACTGATAAATCTTTAAGAAAACGTTATCAAACGCTCTGTGCAAACTTTTTTATTTTATTTACATCATCAGAACAAAACATAAGCCCATCAAGAATGCAAGAAAAATGATCCGTACTTTGACATTTCTCACGCGACTCAGGAAAATTTTTGCATCTTACATAGTGGCGATGAGTTTTTCTTACAGCGATAGTGGCGATGAATTTTTCTTACAGCGATCATTACAGAGCTCAATATTACCTAGAAGATGTCACTTAAAAAATCATAAGTGTTTATCAGGGTCTTTATAAATACCCCGAAACCAATAATTCTTTTTACAAATCAAATTTTTCATCAAAATCCGAACCATGGGCAGCTTTTATAGATTTGTCAAAAGAATTTATATTGAGTTGAAAATGAATTTAATTGATTTGAAAATTTACGTTGTTTCAAACTGAAAGCTTTCTCTTGATCGATAAATTGGTTTAATTTCCTTAGTCAAGGGACTAAGAGAAAATATCGCCCCTGCGATTTGAAAATTTTCGCAGTTCATTTGAATGTTAATTGCGAACGGATCCAGAGTTTTTTTCTGATGAAGAAAATTCAAGTGCGCTAGATTTACTTGACCATTTAGCTTCAGAGAAGGAAGCTAATTTCCAGAAAATTAGAGAAGACAAACATAGGTAAAAATGTTCCGCTGGAAACTCTCAATTCTTTAGAGCTTGTCTGAAGAGGAGGCTTTGATGGCTATCAGAAGAAGATGAACAGCTCATTAAAATCTAGATTTGTCAATTCCTATACCTCAGCGCTCAGAAGAGATTGCTAGAAAATTCTGGAGCCTCGCAATATTACACAAAAAAATGAATTTGGGAGCTTCACAATAGGAAAATCTTGTGGAGATCATTCCTTGTAAAATATTTACTAAATCTCTGCTTTCATTCAAAACCCCTGGCAGTAGGAGATAGACCATCTAATGGAAATACGAAACATCCCAATAAAAAGCATCATGGGTGAAAGCATCACAAGTATAAGACAGGCAGAAAACTTGTAGAAAAGGAGAACTACTCATAAAAAGTTATAGTGTTGTTCTCATAACTAAAAGCGTTTTTGTATAACACGAGAGGCACTTTGAAGCATTTATGAGGTGTTCAGAAAAACATTGAAGCAGCTTTTTCCTAAAAACCTTGTAGTAGCTCAAAAAACTGTGAAAAAAAAAAGAATGTAAAGTTTAGTTGCAGGCGATGTACAGGACGTTCCAAATGTTTCTGGCCCCAATTACTTCATTTGTAGATTTTCTAACTCAGTTTTTACTATATGTCGCTAAACCTAAAGTTCAGTTCTCTAAATACTTAACAACGAGAAAATCTTTGCTTCAAGATACTCTAAAAAATTCGGATGTAACCAATCAGCTTTTTCTAGAAATCGGAAAAGTGCGTTATTTGATTTGTTCTACTTTTTTCATCACTGAAAAACGGAAACAACTTTTCGTTTTTTATCCTGAAAGTCCTAAGTCTACAATTTTTTCGAATAAAAAATTCTCCAGTGCCTTGCGAGCAAAGACCTTTTCGTCTCCCTTTTCTGTGACATATGTCTTCTTCGTTCAAGGAAAAATGCGTGGAAGCTATACTGATTGCCTTACAACCTAATCAAAAATCAAAAAAAAATCACAAACTCGCCTGATTTTTACTGAGATAATTCCGAGGTTTGATGAGCACAATAAAACAAAAATCGAGTCAAAATTTGAATTAAAAGTACTTTGGACCAGATACTTTTCAGCGCCGTGTACTGTGTTTTTTAAGATCCATTTCTCAATTATAAACATTCTCGAATGAAAAATATGAATATTTTAAATTTTTTTATGATAATTAAGACAGGTTTTTGTAAAATTATTGTAGCCTTTAGGTCAAACTGAAAAATATGTTTAAAACCTATATTCTACAGTCTCAGATGCCTGTGTACAGAAAATCAGTTTGACAATTTCGATTTCAAAAAGGGATGCGAATTTTGAATTTCTTATGTTTACTGGATAATTTAAGAGGACCATACTGTTCGCAAAAATGCCTTCACCTCTTGACTAGAATTTTTTTTCAGTGAAAGGCAGCACAAGTTAATTTTCTTCACATGAAACTCTCCCCCCCCCTCGATCCAGCCAACCCTAACCCCCCCCCCCCTTCCGCCTAAGGAGTTTACTAACCGCAATAGAACTACCCCTGCAAAAGACTCACTCTGTTTACCATTCAAACCCAATCCGCTTCCCCTGATACACAAGAAAAACATTCGATCGGGGCTCTTATCGACGCAACAGGCAACAATAAGCCCCATAAAAGATATTATTTACCTAGGAAAATGCAGTCCAGGGGCCCAGGTTATTGTGTTTTGAAAAAAAAAGAACTTGCGCGTCTATACTGGTCGTGAATGCGGACCTACCTGATGATTTAGCGTAACGTAAACCGAATCGAACGGCCGTGACAGCACGTTGTAGATCACATAGCGATGCAAGGAAATACTGAAACACTAGGGTTTTTGTGCATTTTTTCGTTTCAGGGTTTTTTACGTTTCTCAGCAACCGCTAATGCTTTACGGTTTGCTAAGCGAGCATGGAATTTGCAATAAAAACTGCTGACTCAACAATTTTTTATATAATCGCTTGCCATTGTTCAATTACCCACTTTTTTGACGTAAAATGCGAAGTCTACAGTCGCAGAGTCGAGAACGACTGTAAAATCGCAGAAGAAATGGAGTTGTGCAATTTGCAATGAAGAAAAAATTAGCCATAAAAATCATTAACAATTATTTCCAACAAGGAAATCATGAAACATACATGAAATAGCGCAAAGCATAGTGCAAGAATTTCTATGACACAAAGAAACCCTATACTTTTCCTATATGCGCAGCATGCGCGATGCGGCAGGCAAATGTTCGTGTCCACGTAAAGAACCTGTGTCAATTTTTTTCAATGGCAGCAAAAGCTTGCAATATTGCTCCAAATTACCGAAGAAGAAAAGAAATTTTTGCAAGAGCTTAAGAACAATTTTTTTAAGAAAACGTTTTTGCATTGCAAGAAGAATATAAAGAAGCCTAAAAACTATTTTTCAAAGAAATTGCATAGCTCGAAGCGCAAGATTTCCCCTTCAGCGGGAAGGGGGCAAGAGGCTCTTTTCTATAAACGTAATTTCACCGTATAGTATGCAAGAATTCACGTGACCCATATGACAATGCCCGCGCTGTCAAATGCATAACGTACGCGGTGCGGCAGGCAGATGTTCGTGTCCAAATAAAGACACCACTCTGCCAAATTTTTTTTGTAAAGATATTAAAGTATGCAGAGATTGTAAACTCAAGTCAAAGTAAAAATTTTGTAAAGGAAAAAACTTTATTAGCTGAAGAAAAATTGTGACTGAATAGCAAAAAATACGACGAAGTTAAGGGAAGCTTAGAAAAAATGCATGGCTAAAAAACAATTTTTTCTTTAGCAGAAGGAGCAAGGAAAAAATTATTTATGCATAAAATTATTAATTTATTTCTCTCTACTTTTTCTCTTTCTCTTGTTGTTCTACCCTCGAGCTTCCTTGCGAAATTTCCAGAAAGATCCAGCTAGCTAAAGCTATAACATCTCCAAGCATCATTGAGCAGCTCGGAAACAGTAAGCAACTTTAGGACGAGTTTGCCTGCCTGTACGAATTGTCCCTACTCAAAATTCAAAGAGCAATCACAGAAATCAATAGTCATAAAGACACAAACGAGATTCTTCCATTTCAGCAAAAATTTTATTCTCTTTGGAAAACTCTTTCTTTCGCCCGTTCCCATTGATAAAATAATGAGCACTTTCGACTGCAGATGTGTTTTTCGTCGTTTTCTCCGATAAAATTTATCGTCAAGCAACCTTCATTTTCGCCAAACATTCACACGCTTTATTAGGCAATTTAGATCTCGTAAAATTCGCATCGTCGGAACAGTGAAGCCATAGACAGACTTTCACAAAAGAGAAATGATATTTCCTGTGAACTTTCCCTAGCACATACACATACACACACACATGAGATGTTCTTGCACTTCATGTGAGACGAACAATGGGAATTTTTACGAAGTAAAAATTGAGAGTAATAGCAGACTCCGGGGATTAACCTTAGACGGCAATTACAGTGCACTATTGTAAATTGTAAGTTGTAAAATCCACGAGAGGACGAAAACCGTGAAAGAAGCAAGGAAAGGTTTTTAGTACTAAAGACTTGAGACGTTCGGAAATGGTCTCGCAATAGCAATTGAAATTTACTTCAGGTAAGGAAGTAAAGGAAAGTTTTCAGTTGATAAGATTATATGTGACAGGTGTTAGGCTTCAAAAATACCAACAATACAGTTGCAGCGGTGGAATTTGTCCAAAACTGCGGGATTGTCGGGATTCGCGGGATTTTCGGGATTCGCGATGTTTGCGGGATTCGCGACTTCACGGGATTTGCGGGATTCGCGGGATTTGCGGGACTTGCGGGATTTAGCTATAACTTCTTTTAAATCCATTTTATTTGCAATCTGCGTGTAGATTTGGCTTCAGCTTGATGAGACGAATCGTTTGATATACAGTATGTCCGTAATTCGTGGTGAGTGGGTAGACTTACAATGATAACTTGTTGTTCTCTATGTTAAGGCTTTTGTGAACATTTATCACAGCGTAAATCACGAATAGCAGGTTCTGGTAAGAAGTTTTCATTATCGAAACTATCGCGAAAAATTGGGCAGTTTTTATTTACCCTTATCACTGATATAAGCATTTTATCATTTATCACTGATAATATCACATTTTTGGATCATTTTTTGCATATGGTAAGGAAAGTACTGTAGGAAAAGCTGTGTGAATTTCTATCGCTCTTTCTCTCATTATAAGTGATCTACAGGCTTTTCTAGTTCTATTGCTCGGTGCAATTGGTAGATCCCTCGCTGCAGCAGTCGATCGATTTTTCATCGGCACATGCCATTGCTGCCAATTCTTACCTAGAATGGCATTTTTACTTCAACTCGCTTCACGCCGAAGCCGAGGGCTGAAATTCTGCACCTATATGGAAGATGAACGTGGAATTCGACCGCATGAATTCAAGCCATTCTTATCTGTCGTTGTCATTGATATCATCATTTTATCATTTATCACTGACGACACAAAATTGGATCATTTTTGATATACAATAAGAAATGTACTTTAGAAAACGCTGTGTGAGTTTTTATCGCTCTGTCTCTTATAGTACAAAAACCATTCACAGAACATGCAAAATTTCCGGGAATTCCGCGAAATTCATGTGAATCACGCAAATTACGCAGTACTCTGCGTTGATACCACTGCTT